GTACCGTCCAACTACTCGTACGCACCCACACCTCGTGGAGGGGCCATGCCTCAGTATGGCGCTGCAGACCCGCGCACATACGCGACGCCGAGAGGCACCCCTGAATATGTAAGTTATTTCGGTTACAATATTCCAAGTCGGCAACGCCGCGACACAGACGTCCCGCCTCTCAAGCGCAGCAATCGCGAGAGGAAGCGTCGACCGTCGCAGTCGGCACGTCACGTCTACACCAAAGTTGTCTTCGACGACCAAGGATACGGCTACGAGCGCGATTACGACGTCTACGACTATCCACCACCGCCATACGAACAGTATGCGCGCCACGACATGTACGGGAGGGATGCTGATCAATATTACTACGATCAGGTCCCTATTTATGATCCAGAGCCAAAGGCCAGCAGCCGTCCACGACGCGCCTCCGCAGCAACCAGCCGACAGCCAGCCGCCTCCCCCAAGAAGCCCGCTCCAGCAGCTGCCCCCAAGACCAGCCCCAAGGCCACCGAAGAAGATGCGCGCCGCGCTGGCATTCCCGCCGGCTACTCGTACAAGAACTGGGACCCCACAGAAGAACCCATCATGCTCCTAGGATCCGTCTTCGACGCCAACTCCCTCGGCAAGTGGATCTACGACTGGACTGTCTTCCACTACGGCCCTGCAACCCCCCTCGCCGAGATGGCAGGCGAGCTCTGGCTCCTGCTCATCCAACTCGCCGGCAAAGTCAAGAGGGCCGACGAGACCATGCCCAAGATCCGCAAGAAGGAGAACCACGAAATGGTCGAAGACTTCCTCGAGAGTGGCGAACGCCTCTGGGTCCGCTTCGCCAAGCTCCTCAAGGTCTGCGAGGACTACATGTGGAAGGCCGCTAAGAAGGAGAGCGGCAAAGAGAAGCCTGTTTCCATGGGCAAGAACAGCGGCAAGGAGTTTGTCGAATCCATCTTCGGTCGCGACCGAGAACTAGAGAAGACCGAGAAGCTCATGACCGGAATGCGTCTCTGGTCCATGCGCTTCGATGCCAACTGCGAGGACATCCTACGATACCCATCTGCTTAGGATCTCTTACCTTTCATACCTCGACGCTTTGGCGCTGGCGTTTTCTGTCTCGGTATACCCTTTCCCTTATCGTCATTGCTTTGCGCATTATTTGATGTTACCGCGAGATACCCTTTCTTGCATTTCGTAATTGTTAATCTTGCTGCATCTTATTCGCTTTGCACGTTCACAACAATGTACAACACTACCGGGTTTTCTCACGCATTGGGCGGGTCACAGGAAAAAGTCTGCTTTCTACTATGATATCCCCCTTCTTACTCTTGTATTGTTTTTCTAGCCTACTATCGTTATTTGCTGTTTGGGTTTCGGGCACGCATGGTGTTCAGGTTGTTACTCTGGGGGTACTGGGATACCACTACACTTTGTCTTCTGGGTTAGTCCACTAGATTTGAGAGATTCTCTACGGAACATCTCTATCAGAAAGATCGGTACCTCACGGTCAAAACTAGCTATACCCACTTACCACTCTATTGCTATCTACAAATTTTATTACTTATTATCGAACCATCTACTTCCCATGTCCTCGTGCAACTGCTTCTTCCGTGACTCACAAGCCCTGTCCGCCTATCAAACCCGCATGCGTCGCATTCTCCTACACAGCCATTATCAAAGTTACCAACGGCGGCGATCTCCAAAAGCTGCGACCCCTGCATGCCAGCCACACATGGGCAATCTGAGACACAAGTAACCCTATCGAACACCTCAGATCAGTCTCGGACACATGCTTTTGCGTCTGCAACACCTGAATTTCACATGCTTTCACACACCCTCTTCTGCCTGGGTTGCCACGTTCCCAGGCTCCCAGGAGGCGCTGTCGCACTGTGAGTCGCAGACTCATCACAGTCCTTTTAGTGAATCATCACGCACGATGGTGCCTTGTTGCAGCCAACGGGCGCTTGCGCATGCACATGGCCAACTTCATTGGCTGTTTCGGGCTGTCCTCAGCCTTACCATAGAAGAAGCGCTGTGCATGGAAGCCTGCTGCAGGTTGCGTCAAAGAGGCAAGGTCGTGATGTTTACTTTTTCCGCGACCCCCATGGCCTTAAACGTGGCGTGTGAAGGCGGGAAGGATTGCCACCTATCCAATCCGACGGCCTGCAGATGAGTTCGTGCCGCCTGGCGCTGGCCCTCAAGATTGGTAGAGTGGAACGACAGCGGTTTGCTATCTTGATATCGATCCGGGCCGGGAAGAGAAATAGGGCATTGCTCACGTTTGCGTGGAGGAATGGTTGGGTTAGACATGAGTGCACAAAGTGCTATTTACGAATGCGTTGTGGGTGGTAAGGCCCAGGGCTTTGGGATGGCCGTCGCACAGTACCTACAGCTCGCGCGCATCGCATGCAACGATGACATTACAGCGAATCTACCTACCGTCCCTCCATCCAGGGTCTCTCGCGGCCATCACAACACAGTAAACCACCCCTTAATAGCGGCCACATATGCGGCTCAACGTTATCAGCCTCCTTCCCTGCCTCGCCTTCCTCATAAAGTTCCATGCCACCCCATCCCGAAGCTTAGCGCACGCGTCCCTTCCCATTTCAAGATTAAGAGGCGTCGCGTTATCCCTGGGCACGGGAACTCCTTTGATAGGCACACTCTGCCTTGATCCCCGGTTATAACACGAGTCAACGTTGCGCAAGGGCACCCTGACATGGGGTGATTAGGCAACAGTTTTGATAGAGTTGCAGGATTGGCATCATATCGCGTTTTGGGATCGACAGGCACAGAGACACTGCCCGTCGTCGGGAGGCTCGGATGGAAGGGAAGGATGGTGGGTGGCTAGTACTCCGTGTATGACAAAAGACGCGAGGTTGGGGCAGGAAGGGTTCCACGGGATCTGTTGGCTAGAACCAGGGCTATCGGCTTCCACAACAGTCTCTGCTAAGTTACCGTCATTTAGCTTTTCGGTTTTGGTGGGTGTCACGAGCTGAGTGAGCGCTGTTGGGGTGCGCCGTATTGATTGGGTGCGGCATCGCATCTTTCTTCTTTTGTGCTCAGTGCTTTCCACGGCTGAATGAGTGTGGTACTTGGATCGTTTGTGTGAATCGCTCCAACGAACGAATAGCATTGTTCTACTCCGGCGTAGCACATGCGATCGCTTTCCAGATGACCTTTGCGTCCCAGCAAACATGTCTGCTTCTGGACCTTTCTCCGTCGCGCCGGATCGCGTTCCGTCGCAACTATACGACATCATTCCGCTAAACAGGCAAGCCCATCACATCACTATGGGCGAGCACTTTGCCTGAAAGTCCCAATCGCGTCAATGCAATGGGTCGCGAAAACGCGAATCCGGGGTGCATGTGCATGCCTCGCAGAACACCTGATGCCTACACTATCGCTATCGTCAAACCTACCAGCAGTTCATGCAGAAGCGTGACATATACACACACAGGCCATGCCCATCGGCGAGCGACTACGGTGTTTCAAAACACGTGGCCGGTGCCATCGTGCATGAACCGGTCCCCTATTCCACGTCCCTTCGCACCCAAGCACACCCAAGCAGCAAGCGAAGCGAGTACATCAGGCAAGCCGCGGCATATGACGAATGCCAGACTAAACCCCGCCTAGACCCACCCGTCCAGTTCCTCTCCCCCTCCTGCTTATCCACTTTTGTACCCCGCTGCCACTCCGCGTGAACCGCCTTTGCCTATGTCACTGTTTCGCCTACTTCCAAGGTTTTCTTTTCACCTACCGCGTCACGGTGCCGGAGCGGAACATGGGCATCGTAATGGCGGGTAGATGGACGAGTGGTCACAAGATCGTCTATCGTCATACATCGGTCAATGCGAGATCATTCATGCCGTGCAAGCATCGAGATCGTGGCTGTTGGCAAGTTTCTGGCTACCATGATCGGAGCTGGCCGATGCGTCGCTTGTGTGGTACAGTACGTTCACGGTGAGGGGTGTAGAGGGGTCGAAAAGTTTGACCCAGAGACATGCCACGTCTATACCGCTCCCTCTGGCGTTCTGTTCTCGTTACATTGACGAATGAGCGATCTGGCTATATGCATCGTGGGTGTGGTCAGCTGCGCTTTTCGGTTTGCTGGTGGGTGGCTTCGGGCTGCGAAATGGCCCATTAAGCGCTGTATCCTCTGCGTGATTGGGGTTCTTTTGAGAAATGCCGGAGAAATGCGTGCTGGGAGGCAGACTCGGATAGGCGTGTGCATACGCGCATTATTTCTTCAGCGGCACTTGCACTGAGAAACACTAGCCGCTGGTCTATGGGCAGGTGACAAGGCAGGTATGATGTAACCTTAAGTCGCAAACGTGCTTTCCAAGGACGACTGTCAACCTGGCAGGTACACCGCGAAGTACCCCCCACGGCCAACGTAGCAACACCAAAACAATCTCGATCCGAAGCGCAACCTTCCGCCAGACCAGGACAGCGATATCCCTCCCAACTCCCACGTGCCCTCGCCAGCGTCACCAATCCCTCACTGCGCATAAGCGCCCGCAACACCACCCCTCCATGCATCCACTACCCCTCCAACACCCATTCCATTCCCATCACCCTGCCGCAAGGCACTGTCAAAATAGTCCTTTGTCCATACCAAACAACCCCTCCATTGTATAGGCTTACTATGCGTCACAGATCGTCCCTTATCAGGTACTATCTTTGCTATTCCTGTGCCGTGAACTGCATGCACTGCGCATGCGAACACCCTTCTAGCGCGCCGATTGTTTGTTTCTATTTCAGTCGTCACATGCGAGCGGGGTAAAGGACGAGGCTGCATTCCCGGCTTATGTGATGAATGTATTGTATTGAACTAACCGGATGGAGATCGATAGCGATGCAAGGGGGAGAGGTGTGGTTACACGACAGGCAGTGGGAAATAGTGTAGTCAGCACTATCTCTAGGTATTAACCCTAGGTGAACAGAGACAGCTATCAGATAACCGATGCTCTGAATGGTTCGAAAGTGCAACGTTATCCATGTATTTCGTAAGATGCTTACCATGCGAGAGCTAATCGAGTACCTATCACAGCGACCTCATCGCCCTTTGGACAGAACAATTTGCCAGACTCAACCAACCGAAGTAAAGGCAAAGATTCCTCGTTGAGCCAATGACGCGGCAACATGAAGTGTTTCTTGACCATACCCGCGTTTTCCGCATTCTGCGTGTGCTTTGAGGGCGACACAGCTCCTGAAGTTGCTGGCTCGTCTTTTGCATAAACAGATCCAATCTTCCAGGTACAGATCCAGAAATCTTGATCAAGGAAGACGAATCTGTCTTTTGCTAGCACGCCGAGCGAGACTTCGACTAGCTTCGTGACTTCGTCTGGAATACGTCGCATAGCCGTGTTCGGAACCGACCACATTGCTGTTTCATTCTCTCGTAGCCTAGGAATTGAATCGAGTTCAGAAACCTTCAGCATCGTGTAAGATTGAGAACCAGGCTTCAACGTCCTTTCCACGACGATGTGAGATCGATCTTGAGCTGGATATACGTGCACGGTTTGGTAGCCTGACTCTGGGCCTGCGCTCACTCTAATTCGATCTTCTTCTGCGGAGTCGGCGTTTGATAGTTGGCCAGTCTTCCCGGTGATGTTGTTATCAGACTTGTAATCGTAATGTATCAGTTTCGTTGGCTCTAGGGTGATCCAGGAAAAGCGCCTCACGCCAACGTGGTTGAAGGCAAGTAATGATTGCGAGTCGCTAGAATCGTTGATCCAATGCTGGCCTGTGTCGCTCTCGTTTTGATGTTGAACGCGCATTTTCTTTTCGTCCAATGACCATACTTGTACAGCGTGTTGCCTAACCATAAGAAGAAGGGTTCCGTCCGGACTGAATAGTACTTGCTGAGCAGTACCTAGCTGTGATGACATGGTGAGATTGAGAAGCGGTTGAACTTTCCATGTCGTCTTGTTGTCGGTGATCGATAACGGTGAGATCTTCTTGACGCTGACGTCCCCGCCCAATTCCCCAATGGCTAGATGCTCACCGCTGTCATCCCAAACTAGCAAGTCTATCATCATGTATCTTGGGGAGTTCCAGACGTTCAGAGTCTTCATGCCTTCCGCATTGAACAGATGAACCTCCCCAGCTTCGTTCCCGGCGCAAAAGAATCTGCTATGTGAAGCCACAGCCAAAGCCGTGATTCGATCTTCTTGTACAACGATCTGAGTGGAGTCGTTGAGTGTTGAGACATCACTTTGCGTCTCCCATTGGTCCTCAGATATGTCGCCCGTCTCCTGCAAGTCAGCGAGTGCTGCTGGCTCCCATGCAGTGCATACAGCATCGCGTATCTCGTAGAAGCGACGAGAGTCTGGACTGAAAGCCAGAGCTCTTGGGGTAGTGTCGCATCTCAACTGGTATAGCAGAGCAAAGTTCTGGAAGTTGAAAAGCCGAACCACCCCATTGTTGTCGCATGCCGCAAACGATAGCCCATCGGGACTACATTGGAGCAGGCTAGCAGGTGTACGTAGCTCCTCGTTTGTTTGTTCGTATGGGTCCCATTTGAAGACGCATCCATCGCTATACCTCCCAAGAATATTACCATAGCGTGCATTCCAGGATACTTCATTAACTCCTGACCAAACTACTCCGTTGAAGCCTCTACCTTCGACAGGCCGTGAATTTCTTCCGATCATCTGACAGTCTTCAACTGACCACACTGATAATGGAAAGCCGCGATAGGCAACAGCGATCTGTGTACCATCAGGGCTAAAGACCATGGCGCAGGGTGAGTTGGCATTGCCCAGACTAGCGGTATCAGATTCTTGCAAGGAACTGAGCTGTTGCCATTCTGGGCGTTGCGTATCTATCGCCAGCATTTGGATAGTCTTGTTTTCGCACGCCGCCAGTACCCTGGTCTTGTCCTCGCTGAAGATAACGCCCAGGACCGTGGTGTCTTTGGGACTACCGATTGTGAGAATGTGGCGACCAGATGGAATTTCCCAGATCTTGGTATGCGATACCCCACACGAAAGGTACCTCGTCCCGGCGGGGTCGAAACAACATGCTGTGACGTACTCGCCTTGAACGAGCGAGAGCTTCTTTTCGAAGTTGACAGCACTCCAGATCAGCGTTACTCCATGTGACTGATGGTCTGTGGCGACTGCAGCGATATGGCCACGAGAGCAAAGCAGCTTCAAAAGTCGGTGTCTCCTGACTGACATGTGCGCAACCGAGTCATCCCATCTTTGGTTCGTGATACCGGAAACTGATATGGAGCGAAACGTCCTCTGTTTCGCGAATTGACTGTGTATCATCGAGCTCCGAGGACAAAACTCTGGGATGAAGTTGTAGATAGACGCGGGATCATACAAGAGTGTAGAACCAAATTTCCCCACGAGCTTGGTGAAGTCAACTGCCCAGAAGCGCAGTAGATCTCGCTGATCGTCATCCAGGGTAAGCTCGAAATCTGTGCTTCTCTTGCTACTGATCAGCTCCGTCAATGTTCGCGAGGCGTACACGAGGACTTTGAGCTGCCGCAGAGACGCAAGTATGCGGATCCAGGTGAGCACATGAGATTTGCGCAGGAATTGCACAAGAATTGACAAGGCAGAAGAACTGATACGCGTAGCAAGCCCCAAATGAAAGTGCCAGGATGTTGCTGCATAGTCAATGAAGTCGCGTTTGAGTTCTGCGTTGGTCTGGTTGAGTTTGCCGCGGACTCCAGTATCCATCAAGCAAGTCATACATTGACGAAAGGACTCAAGATGAGTCTGCGTAGCATCGATGTATAGATCCAGCTCAGGTGCGTGCGTGAGATAGTCGCGCGCAGTCTGATGTATCATCGTGACGTTTTCGCTCATGTCCACAACCACAAAGAAGCCACAGGTGGCAGTGATGGTGCTGCGAAGATCGAGAATCTTGCCGAAAGATGGCCGGAGAGCTTGTTCCAGCTCTCTCAAGTTGAGCGCTCGACGAGAAAACATCGCCCATGTTAGTATGCGCTGTGCAAGTTGCTTGTCTGTCGGGCTCATGTTCTTAGCTACATCAGAGGCCATGCGATGATACATGCCTTCCATACCAGCGGGCATGTTCTCCAATGTTTGCCTGATGTCGTCGCTGGTGTGACGTTTGAGTACTTCCTTGATGGCAAGATGCACCCAGAGAAAGTTGCCTTCCGCGCGCTGTAAGATCAGGTCTGTTACTTCCTTCTTGACTTCTTCATTCCACCTTGGTACAGTCATACGGCTCTCGACATAGGCTCGAACATCCTGTTGGGACTTGGATGTTATGGGAAAGACCTCGACCGGTATTGACATCCCCAGCTGCTCGACCTCAGAGCGCAACTCTGGGGTCTCGCGACTTACTACCAATATCTTGATGGGTATTGCAGAGTTTCGTAAGCCATTGAGCAGACCAAGTAGTAATTGAGGTGAGTCCGCTTCGTCCAGAGCGTCTATGACCCAGTACAATGGGGCCGTTTGTCGCAATGTCCAGAGTGCCGTAACGAACAGTCGGTTCCACACAGTTCTGACGTCTGTCTTCTCTAAGCGTAGTCCATCTTCCGATAGGTCTCTCAAACGTCTGCGGTATTGGGGTATATCTTGAGACAGCTGGAAGGCTATTGATCGGAGACAACCGTTGACTGATCGCTTGGCTTGTTCGCCAAACCGGAAGAAGTAATACTGACACGTCTCTCCTCTTGCTTTGATGTTGTCGATGATGAACGACGAGAGTACTGATTTCCCACTAGCTGGTAGCGCATGCAACCAAAGTACCGAGCTCTGGGTAGTATCTTGCATCCATTTCTGGAATATACCCTCCTCAAGTATCCATTCACATGTACCCGGCATCCATTGATCGCGGAAAAAGCTGAAATCGTTGTTTGGTGAGTCCTGAATGGAGAGGAGAGTTTCTACAGCCTCGGAAGCGTCTGAGGAGGCCGAAGAAGATCTCCGGAAGCTGATACCCATGTGCCGCACGCGGTCCACCAAGGTTTTCAACACATCTCGCATACTGATGTAATTTGCGTCACGAGGACTATGGTATTTGCAAACATCGTGGTGGTCTGCATTCATAGCTCTCGATATTTCTCCCGGATATCCAAGTATGGCAGACTCTTTTTCCAATATCCTGATCTTTTTGGGACCGACAGCGGTCTCTAGGGTCTCGTAGAAGGAAACAATGTGAAGCTTCGGCGCAAACTTCCGAAACTGCTCATTTATCTCTTCTAATGCTGCCGAATTCTTCTGCAAGTCTGCGACGTACTGTTTGGGGGAATACCTGAGAAGTGAGGTCGAGAGTATGCGGTTGAGTAGTTCGGCCAGATTGGAGCCGCGATGCGGCGTGGATAAGAAAATGATAGCATTGATGGATTTGACCATCTCGGAATACTCGTCATCACCGTGACCCAGAATGTAGGCCTTCTTCACTACGAGACCCCCCATCGAGTGAACTATGAAGATGATTGGGACATCTCCTAGACCTAGATCCTCTAAATCCCTGTTCTCGTCTTTTGTGAACTTCATAGCAAATAACAGTTCTTTTGCGAAATCTGTAATGTTGAGCACTGTACGCGATGAGGTCGACTTCCAATCTGCATCGTATCCGAATGTTAAGATCCGTGCTGAGCCAATGACAGGCTCAGTGGGGAGCCAAAGATGGGGCCAAAAGTAATTCGGATCATGGTCCTTGGACCACGTAGAGTGACTAGATCCGCCCAGACCATGTACGAAGACGATGTCTAGCGAATGTCCGTACTCGGGCTCGTGAATGACAGTGAGTCCTAGAGGATTCGTACGTCTATGTGCGGAGTTCGATCTTGTGTGAGATCCGTGCGACAAGTTCACAGCGGCGAAACTTGACGTAGTACTCTGGAAGCTACTTGAACGTTGCTCAAGTCCTGATGAGGTTGAATGAGGGCTAAGGTTGCTGCTGCGACGGCGTTCAGAATCGACAAGATTAGATGAGACAACCTGACTGTTGCTATGCAGTCGTCCTCTTCTAACTCCATCTTGGAAACCGACTTGTCCATCTTGAACAACATCAGCGTGAGCAGACTCTGGTTCCTGTGCGCCCGCGATCGCATCGGAAGGTCCCGAATGTCTGTTGCGCTCTAGGCTTTGGCGACGCTGGGCGGCTTCGACATTGGTGGCATCGGCTGCCGGATCATTCAAGGTGCCGATCTGTTCATTCTGGCCACGACCTTTATACTTGTTGCTGATTCTCTTCCGTAACTGGAGTTAATGAGACTTTGTCGCAATATCGACACGTTGATGTCACTCACTCGGTCCATGGTCGGGCCTCATAAGAGTCGTAAATCCCACCCGCTTTTTCTGTCCGAGTCCGGCAAATGTCCACAGTTCGACCCTGGGTGCGGTAGGGTGAATGACGTGAATCGTGATCAGGAATGGTACGACGAACGACTGGGGCTGTGGGTATCCAAGTCCCCCGCCAAAGGCAATACAACTACCGCAGGGATAGTCAGCCGCTCGCCGGATGCGGAACTTGCTGATGCTAATCCACGTCCAGGACATCTACAGTGGTATCCCGTCCTCGGCAACAGGCTAGACGGGCCCGGAAAGAAGCCCACCAATTACAGACGGTATGAGCATCCCGCGGGTTCAGATATTGACGAGTAAGGAAAAGAACAGCATGACTGCAGCCTCTGTTGCCTGATGATGTAGTCAGCATCCATGACCCCGCGCGCGTGGCCAATGATCCCGTATCTGCTGCAAGGCTGCGGCGCACCCCCATGCTGCACGTTCGGCTCGAGCACTTCCTCATCTATTGCAGCGAATCAATTCTTTGATTAGCCGCTGACCGGATCGCCACTGACGCGGGTGACTGCATGCGATAAGTAAGTGAGTTATCGTCGCTGTTCGGATTATACATGCTTGTGTAACAAGAGGCTTTGCTTTTAGTCGCAGGCAGACGGTTCCAGACATTTGTACCATTTTCGCTTTACTCTTAAGGAGCATGTCAACCTCAGTACACTCGATTGCGGAGAAGGAAGGGCCTAGCGCTGGTATTGAGGGTGATTTCCCTCTCGACGAGGGTGTGGTTCAAGGTAAGTCCTTACAGGAAGGATTTCAGTCCACAGCTCATAGTCTTGGACAGCTCTACCGGAGGGTAGCAAGGTTCTGTCAGCGCATAGCTATGGTTCCTCCGCATGGACAGTCACAGCCCGCCTGAACGTTTTGCTTTCCGGCGGAACAGAGAAGAAGTATTTTCTCAAGATTGCGACCGAGGAACCTGGTCGCGTGATGATGGAGGGAGAGTTCAACTCAATGAGCTCTCTTTACCAGTCTTTACCGGAATTCATTCCCAGGCCTCTGACTTGGGGCAAGTTCAAGATCAAAGCGCCTGAGACGTACTTCTTTCTGTGCGACTTCATTAACATGACCAACGACATGCCGGATCCAGTTCAGTTCTGCGCCAAGCTTGCAGAACTCCATAGAACGAGCGAATCTCCGACTGGGATGTTTGGCTTCCACATTACGACCTGCCATGGTAGATACCCCCAAGAACTGGCTTGGGACCCCAGTTGGACTAGCTTCTTCACCAAACTGCTTCGAGGCTGTTTCGTATTCGAGAAGCAGGAGTGTAGTCCGTGGCCGGAGTACGACACAGTCGCAGACCGTATACTAAGCCATGTGGTTCCAAGGCTCCTAGGAGCGCTCGAAGAGGACGGCCGCAAGATCAAGCCGTCGCTTATTCACGGAGACTTGTGGGAAGGCAATATTGGAACCGAACTTTCGAATGGCAAGATCTACATCTTCGATGCCGGCGCGTACTACGCCCATCATGAGATGGAGATCGGCATGTGGCGATGTGAGTATCAAAAGATCAAATCGCGAGAGTATAAGCGACAGTATCTGCGCAACATGACCGTGAGTGAGCCGGCGGAAGAGTTCGAAGACCGCAATCGTTTGTACTGTATCAAGATGGATGTCATCCACTCAGCGCATAATCCTGGATCCATCGTCAGAGAAACGTAAGTCATAGTCAAGAGCGTGAGATGGAATGTACTCACATAGTCGTAGGATTTACAACGACATGTGCTACTTAGTCGACAAGTACGCACCATATCCACACGGAGAAGAGCCTTCAAAGAGTAAAATGCAGAAAGAGGTGCCTGCAGCCATGTGGAAAGGTGCAGAAAGTTCTGCGTTGTCGACATAAACCAGGAATGGGCCAGGATTTCCTAGCGATGTAATGACTGACTCTGGCTTTTCTGTCTCCAATTCCTGCCAGAGCGCTGTAATAGAACAACCATGGGTACAGATAGTAAAGTGAGCCCTGTCAATAGGGTAAAGGTCCATCCAGCTCCTAGCTTTGAGATTATGACGTCCAAGGCTGCCAGAGCTGCGCCTGCAAGAAGGCAACGAAACAAATTGGCGGCCGCACTAGCTGTTGCAGGTCGAATCGGATTGACGTCGACAAGTAAAGTTCCACAAGCCTAGGGATGTGAGAACAGTGATCTAGTGCGCTTTTTGACATACGTACATTGAACACACCGGTGATTGAGGCGCCGATGAAGAACTGCAAAACCAGTGGCACGGCGAAATGCGTATGGTTATCTAAAGCCCATCCATAGCCGATTGTCGTCGCAGCTGCAACGCTCATGTAGAAGTATGTGGCGCGCAAGCGAGCCTTCTCGATAGGGAAGTCTAGAAGATCGTCGGCGCGTGTTCGATCGATTGCGAAACCCAAACCAGAGGCGACTCTGCGGTATTCCCAGTTCATGATATAGCCTTATCACTATTAGCTACCAGTCTATATGAGCGTGCTGGAGACATCTTACCGCAAGTGTAGGAAGCCAAGACGCAGCCAACCCCGAATGGGATGTATATCAGGCCAGCATACAGTTCCTCGAAGCCATAAATTGTTATGAACAGGGTTGATAGCGACGCTTGAACACAGCAGTAAGTCATGTAGAATAAGCCGTTGATGAGCATGATCAATGCGTTCTCTTTCTGCCAGAGTGCTTTGAAACAGGGCTTGAGGCTGGGCCATCGCATCGGTTGAACGTGAGCTTCGCCTCCAAAGCTTGTTGTTGATGAGTTGTTCGACTTGAGCTTTGCGTGCGTTAGGTAAGACCTGTTTAAGAGTCGTGTAGGCATGATTGATCCGTTTCCTACAATCTTCCGAGCGGTTTCTGGTAGCGTAACGGCGAGTATGCAAAGGTTGATGCTGGATAGTATCGCAAGGGTCCAGAAGATCCAAGGCCATCCAGCGTATTGGACGAGTATGCCACCTAAGACAGGACCCATGCTGGGCGCTGCGTTCGGGCTAGAAGATGTCAACCAGGACCAACTGGCATGTCCAAAGCGGGATGATAGCATACCCCAGTAGAATTGTTCCGACAAATCCGCCTCTTTCAGCAGGAGTGGCAATGTCGCTAACGACAGCGTAACCAAAAGATATCGTACCTGAACACGTATATGTCAGCAGGCACGCCAGCTTGAGAATGTGCTTAGAAACTCACCGCTCGAGCCAGCACTTTGAAGCATCCGTAGCACTAGTAACGCTGGATACGATCTTTGAACAGCCAACCCCACATTGGCAATGGTATATGTGAGTATAGCGACTAGGTACAATGGTCGACGGCCGATGGTATCAGCCATGTCACCTAGGATGGAAGGCGCTACTCCAGATACAATCATGTATGTCGTGATCGATAGATTGGCCATTGTCAACGTGATGTTCAAATCCTCAGCAAGACTGAACAGTGCGGGATAGTAGATGAAGCTGCTGAGAGGGGAGAAGAGGCCCGCATATGCGACCAGGAAGACGATCCATCGTTTCTCGCCGGGAGTAAAGATGGAGTACGGTGGTGTGTCGGGTGTTATCTCCTGCTCTGGAATGTGAGCGACAATCGTAGGCTTTTCGTTCATACCGGGTGTGCTTGTTGGAGCGGCCATAGAGGCTGTGATGATGGTCGGTTATGACTGCATCCAAAGGATTTGGTGTGTTATCTCTCGATTGGCCCTGCGCGCCATGCTGTACCGATTGGTGGCAACACGCTGCAGCTGGCTGTTCGCCATTCCAGGGATCAACCAGAGCAGATCATATGACGCGCTGTTCGTGCCTCTACCCGAGGCTGTTCCTAGGCAAACGGCATGCTAAGTGTGTGTAACGCGACTGCGCCGCGTTGCGACACATTTTAGCAGCACCGGCTCCACGGGGGGCACCAGTCTCGGCTGCCCCTATCGGCATTAATCGAATACTGTCAAGCTCACCGTCTGCATTCATGAACGATGGGAATGCTTATGTGATCGCGGCATGAGTACTCTGAGGTGTGTTGCACGATGGACAAGCTCTCGATTCATAGCCCACGGCCACCCCAGACTGCCCCACTTAGTTCATGTCTTGACAGGCTAGCGCGCATCGCAAGCACCCACACTCATTGAAGTTGGAGAGAGCGGCTGCATGTCATGATGAGAACATCAAGCTTGAGATCAAAGGCACTTACAGAGACTATGAAGGCTATTGTTCCTGTCGCGGCACTCCGCATGAATAACCAACATGTTTTGTATTTCCAAGCCCTCTCGGGACCTGGAGCAAGTTCCCACAGAAGGCGGCCGCATCTCATGTCATTGGTATCTGACAAGTTGCACGAGGTGAGGTTCACGCGGGTAACTGCGTTGCTTGTATATATACGTTAATACCATTAGCTATACTCACTTATAGCCAGTCGCTGCTAAGCGTGACTTTTCATACTATCATCTATGAATCATGACTTACATCCAACCCTCCTATCTATTAATCCCGGCAGTGCGGTATCTCCTGTCGGACACACACAGCAACGAGAAGATGATACCTCCGAGTAAGACTGCGTCACGACACCCCGGAGACACCATTGACCCGTCTTTCTGACAGCACATTCACGAATCCAGTGATCATGCGGCGCTATCCCTCAACCTCTGCTGTTCCTCCTCAGTAAGCTGTCCAAACTCCTCCGCAAAACCCTGCGTAGTCGCCGCGCGCTTGAAGAAATCAACCAAGAAACCCTGCGTCTCATCGTCGCGCTGGCGGCCACCACCCGGCTCTTCCGCAGCAAAAGCCATGAGCTGCTCTTTGCTGAAGCCACTGCCAAGGTCCATGAAAGGGTTCGCCTCGTCCTCCCATTCGCCGTCATCGGATTCTTCTTCGGCGAGCTCAGCAGCTGCTTGTGCGTCGAGGGGTGCGCCAGAGGCGGATTGGAGTTCGACGACGAGGACTTTGAGGATCTTGAGAGGTGCGGGTACTATGGTATACTTGTCAGGATCTGAATTCGTGTGTCAGTTTGTGGATGGGCGTAAGAGGAGTTTATCGCACTGGTTCGCGACAACGACACTACGGCCTACAAGTTTGCTCCACAACATGACTTTCACTGCGTTCAGTGGCAAAGACAGGGAGGTAAACGTGAAAAGAGAAGACTTACTAGCTTTGGCGCGACTCCTGGTCATGATGCGGCCATCGGTATTCGGTATCAAGTCACCCTGCACTTGAACCTGTGCAAGACGAGGGTCCTTCAAATCATACAGTTTTGAAAGAGCGATGACACTACAAACCAAAGTCAGCAATTATGCACAGTCATCGAGTAAACATAAAAGGAAAAAGGGGGAGTTCAACTTATTCCGAACGATCTCAAGCCTTCCAACAGGCTTTCTCCGTTCGTAAGAGAACTGCTCGATTTCCGGAGAGGTTCGTACGTACTTTTGTCGGATCTCGTCGTAGCCCGCGAAGTTGATGGAGTTTTCGAGCCATTTGGCTAGCACAACCTGAAGCCCGTTTTGACCCTCGATGTCCTGGCCAGCCAAGAAGTCTACAACCTCTGAGGCATGGTTCAAGCTTAGACGCGCGAATACGAGCGTCAGACTTTGGATGAACTGTGCTTGTGTTGCTTGGCCTAGACGGACAGCGACACTTCGTAGGAGTTGCTCTAGGTAAGGTCCAAGTCGTTCGTGACCGGCCTTCTCTACTACCTCTGCGGCAAGCGCACCGACTTCGCCAGCAGCATGGTCGCTGCACGAAGACAACAGACGTGAGACGATGATGAGAGTTACCTCAAGACCTGCCTTTCCGGTGTCATCCCGCCATTCGAAGAGCTGTTGGTGATCGTGCGAGATGATGTTCTTTACGGCAGTCGTGGCAGACTTCAGCAGCTCCTCATCGGCAGAGCCTAGCAAGACTCTTGTGAGCTTTGGCATGGTCGTAGCGACAAAGCCAGCGGGTAGCGGCTCTGGTCCATGCTCAGCCATGACAGCCAGAAGATCAGCAGCAAAGTTGCATAAAGCATTCTCCTCGGTCAAGCTTCCGACATCAAAGGCACCCATAAGTGATGGAAGCACCCTTGCGCACAGTTGAACGTACGCATCCCCGCCCATTCGCGCGATAGTCTCCGTCACCTCTTCGAAGGCCTCGGTGACTAGCATGGTGAGTTGGAAGTTGTTAGCTTGATGACTAGCGATTCGGAAGAGCGTGTCGAGACCATTGTCTGTAATGCATATCCGCGTATCAATAAGTATAGCGTCTCGGAGTGTTTCGACGAGAGTGACCATAAGGTCTTCACTGTCGCTAAGCTCTGACATATCTTGTGCAGCCAGGTAGTTGCTGATGGCCATGATGATAGGTGCTTGCATGGGTTGTGTTGTCGCAGGTGGGAGCGCTTGGAGATAGTATTGCAAAGCCCGAATACACGACACTTGGACAACGTCGGACTCGTCAGATGGAATAGCCTGTAGGGATGCTTCGAGGAAGGATGTGCCGAGCTGTTGCAGAGCGTCTCCGGATGTCCTTGTCAAACTTCCAGCGACAAGGTAACCGCGTGCTCTCAGGAAAGCGTCGGGCTGCTGCATGGCATACCGAATGAAGTCCACATAGCCGCTTGCAGCATCTGGACTGATCTGCTTGTCCACGTCCTGGAAATCGCTCAACAGTTGGTTCAGCACGTAAAGCGCGGCTTCTTTAGCTTTCCAGCTCTCAGACTCGGAGTAGAGCGCTCTTGTGTAGGTCAACAAGCCGTTGACAGTAGGCTCTTGCAGCCACTCGCCAAGCTTGATGACGAGGTCACCACAGGCTGTGCGGGGCGTGTAGTTCGCGGTGACGCTTGTCTCCTCGCTCAGGAAAATGTTCACATCCACATCCCAGAGGCCCTCCTCTTCTGTAGTAATTTGTGCATACGCCACGGCCAGCTTCATGACCTGTGTGACCCATGAGTTGTCGGGTGTCTGGTTTTGGAGTTCCTGTTCGAGTTGCGCGCGGACCGGGGGTGCACGAAGACACGCCTGCATGAAGTCCAGCTCCTCTAGAATAAGGAAGTCCAACGTGTACGGCAGACCATCGGCATCTTCGAGCCTGCTCTGACGATCCTCTTTTATGTACATGAGGGAGTATGCGGGTTCTAGCAGCGATAGCTCCTGCCAGGTTGCCTGGAACAGGACGATGCTTTGCGGCGAGAGGATAGCGGGGAAGACGGACCGTATGCGCATGAGGACCTGCGAGCTGTTAGTATCGGAAACACCTCAAACGGGAGAAACTGAACAGGCCTGGAGACTACATCAAGAGAACACGCAAAGTGGGTGACCCAACGTCGATGTAGCCTCCAGGATGTTCAGCTTTTGACACGACCTACCTTGACTGACTGTAGCTTGAGCGCGATCTGTCCCTTGTAGAGCAGGGCGTTGGGCGCATCCGAGTCCTCCTCGTCGATTGACGGCGGATCAGGTAGCCTGTTGTTGAGGACATTGACGAAGAAGGGAATCCACTCCTTGAGTATCTCATCCGCGAAGCTCTTCACCATTGTCTTGTGGTCCTCCAGCACCATCTCGAGGATATCGAAGCAGCCATGGAAGACTTTCACAGCCAAGGCCCTCAGCGTCGGCTTTGTTTGCTCGCTGGTGGCCACGTTGAACAGGACCTTGATCATCTGAGGCGCGACCTGGAAGAAGGTCGTCTCGTTGAAGCAGTCCTCCACCAGCTCACCGAGCACCCTGAGAGCGCCATGTAGCTGGCCTTCGGTCGCGTTCGGTATCAGTGCGAGGAGGTTGTCGAGGAGATCTGGCCATTCGATGGGGTAGTCGGCGCTTGCGATCTTGCTCACGACGAGGCCCGCGGCGGCCTTGAGCTTGCGGTCGAGCCCGTCCTGGGTAGCGAGGTTGAGCAGCTGCTGCCGTAATACAGCCTTGTTCTCTTCCGAGACGAGCGCCTGGCCCTTCCACTCGTCGAGGCTGGAACTCCATCCCGCCAGCACAATGTTCTTCAGGTACAGGACGGCGGCCTGGCGGATGTTGAGCGGCACGCTGTCATGGCAGGCGATGCCAATGAGGCCGAGGGGGAGCTCCTGGTGGCCGTAGAGGGAGAGCAGCTGCTGCTCAGCGTGTTTGCGCGTGTCCTCCTGGGCGGTTTGGGTTGCTGATAGCAGCTGGACTAGTTGGTCCTCCATGGTCAACGTGGGGCATGCGCGTATAGAGCTAGTCGGCACGTCTAGCGCTCCCCAAAACGGCTGGCGAGGTAGAAGGATCGGGCGTTGACGCGTTTGTTGATGGGTGCTGCTGGGTGATTGAGCGCGAGGAAAAAGAACGCGCTCGGAGATGCGGGGCAACTCCGTGAATCTCTGGGTGGTGGGGTGGCTAAGCGGAGGCTATAGCTGAAGCAATAAGCCGCGACGACTGCATATACGTAGCAGATGGGTATAGACGTCAGAGACTGATACAGGAGTAAGGCGGAGTATGGCAGCTGGGCTATAACGAAGGGCGAGGTGGCCAATTGCCCGACAGGCGGTGACGACGATGCCTCTTCCCAGTTCCCGGTCGGTGGAAACGCGACTATTACCTACACCTTCGCCTCTCCCCAACCCTCCCCTTGCTGCCACGTTGTTATCCTCAACAATGCCAGGGGCACTCGACACAGCATACGCACCACGTCTGCCATACCGATG